AAAATTGCTCTCCTGGTTGCCACCCACAGGAATAAATGAAACTCCCCGCTTACTTTTCAGACTGTGAAGCAATTTTCACTGACCATACAGGATTATTATTCCAGCCATGATCACCCAAATTAAAGATGGTTTATAGATAATTTTTCAGAGTAAAATTGCCTTGTCTACACAACGTGAAGATTTATTTCACTTACTTTTCACTGATTTTAAATAGGTAGAAATCCCCTGACATTGAAAACATTGTGATTTTTTCTTGACTTTTCCCAGACTGTAGCAACCTGGACTAAGTAATACATGTAGTTGTCATTTACAGTTGGGTTTCATCTACACATTCAAAAGTTAAATCAATGTAGAGCTAAATAACAGCATTAAGCTCTGCTAAATAGCATTCTCTTCACAGCTTCGTGTCTGCTTGCAGGACACCAGTCTACATGCAGAGCGGATACAGGATTTTAGATAAGGGGGTTTGAAATATGGACAGCCAAAGGCGGTCCCCTGTAGGGGAGTTCCAGTAGTGTCCTCCCCTAGAAAAATTTTAAATTGAGGTCATCGGATATGGGATTTCTGGCATTCTGGGGCCAAGTGGTCGTGTTATGTCTCACGATTTTTTTCTTAATTTAGGGGATCCGACCATACCCCCCTCAGGATGCACCCCAGACCCTTACAAGATACAAGGATGTCACATCTCTTGCAACCCACACCAGCAAGGTTGGGGTTCAAAGGTTTGAGGAGTGTTTGCGGATGGAGTTAAAAGCCCCCCCCTAAAAAGCAGCTTTAGACCCTTATTTTTCAGGAACTCGTCTCCTTGGGCCCTGGAAAGAATTATAAAACTTCCATGAGTTTCCGTGAAGAATTCCATGAAAGCTAAAAAAAAAAAGTTTGAATTTGAGGAATTCTTTCTACGCGTACAGTAATTACTGTAAGAAATTGAAATTTCCTTTTTTAACTTATATTTAAATACAACTTCATTTGTTTTCCATAATGGAGAGAGGATAACGATTTTGATGTTTATTTAAGTTTTATCCCGAACATGACATAAAATAACTATTTGAGACTTACATGTCCTGTATTCATAATAATTATCATCAGTTTCATTCCATCACTTATTGTCCACCCTTTGTGGCAAGTTACTTTCTTCCCAAAAATTGCAGTATTGAATGTCATTTCATCTGTAAAAGTGAAAATTGCTTTCGCCTAAATTGTCAGGAATTTAAGGCTATTATTTTGGGTTGGGGATGGGTTTTACATATTTATGTAGATCACTTGTAATTGGAGCAACATCAATTAAAGCATGCATGCATAATAGACAATATTATTGAATGCTGAAGTTTTCATGTTGTGTGAATCTTTAAATTCTTTGGCTCCCTGTTATTTTTTACACTTTACGATTCTTTTTACAATAATATTTATTTTCCAGCATCTTGGCTACCATTCTGCATCGCCTGTTGCTTTTTGAAACACATAGTCTCTTCCTCTAAGGTTCATTATTCCGTCCTTCAAATGGAACTTCCACTTATTTCTGGTACGAGTAATCTAAAGAAAAACAAATCAAGCAGTTAATCCATGATAGACATTAACTTTAAAATTTACATTTTGTACTTGTCAGCTATTTCCTGCGACATACCACAAGCTTTTCTGTTTTGATTTTAAATGCGATGAGCAACTTTCTTAACAAGTATACACAATTCAACACTGTCAAACCATCACTACATTGTAAATGAGCATACTAGCCATACAAATGTATATACATGTAGTTTCACCCAGTGTCAAGTTGAAACTCATATACCTAGTCAAACAAACCATTAGACACACGTACCTTGTCAAACTGACATACAACAACATTATCTGTATCAAAAAAGGTCAGCAGGGTCGTCATCGGAAACATCATCATCTGAGTTGAGAGGATCTTCTTCCTATAACAAAAGAGCATAATGTGAATACTGTTTAACAAATGCATACATCTAGGTTCATGGGACAGACCGATGTAACACCTGACTGATTAGTAAGAACTCCCCTAACAGTGAAGGCAAGTCATTGCAATTGTAATTTGACAAAGACTGTACATTACTGACATCTAAGTCTGCGTCATCCAGTCCTTCTTGAGATTTGTCTTTTTTGTCGTCTTCCAAGTCATCTTCATCGTCATCATCATCGTCTTCACTGTCACTATCATTTGCTCCATCCACTTGAATAACTTGAATTCCTGGAGCCTGCAAAGATAAATTGCCAACAACAACAATTGCATTCTTGAGCAAGACAGGTTACTCTCACAGTGCATCTCTCCACCCAGGTGTACATGTTTACATGTACATGTAAATGGGTACCACAGAATTAAATGTTGGGGTAGCACTGCAATTGACCAGCATCCAGGGGGGAGTAGAAATATTCCTAGTTGTGTCATGCCATAGAAACCCGGATAAGCTACAGCCTGATGGGCCACTTGGCTCATATGCAGACTACAGTATACCTTTTACCCACAATACAGGGGTGCATAACCTGCAATTTCGTCATAAAAATGCTCAGTGAGGGGATGTTCTTCTGTCTATGTTCTTGCTATACCCAAACAAGACCCACGTCACACTTAACTGCAAAACAATGTACATGGCTCAACACTAACCTTGTTATCTCCTGCCTGTAACTGTGTCATCTGGATAACTTGGGGCTGAGTGACTCGGGTTGTTGACGGCTGAGCACCACGGATTAGTTGCGTGTTTCCAACCATTGTTGGCTGATGATGAATGACTTGCTGCTGGGTGGTGCCGATGATGTGTCGTGGTTGTGCAGTATTGACAATTCGTTGAAGATTTCCCACCTGCTGTGTTGTCTGTATTGTCCTCACAGTGGGATAAGCTGTAAACAGAAGAATTGACAAGTAAAACTTCAAATATTTCATAAAGAGTTAAGCTGGTAATAACTACATGGGCATAGTCTCCACATGATCCTTCATCATTGTAGTTATTTTGCAGATGTTGTGGTTAAAGACTATTTCCAGTTTGTACTGTGTACTCTCGTTTCAATGAGCTTACCATGTGATGAAACTCCCTGCTGGATTTGTGATAAATTTTCAGGAATGGCCATTGTTGCTGCTGAAGCCGCTGCAGTCTGTTAGAAAACAACAATTAAAATTGATAAGGTTTTGCAATGTAGAACAACTAAATGCAGTAGCTCAAAAAAGGTTTGCATTAACTTGCCTTTCACCTAGCTATGGTCAGATTATTAAACAACATAGTTACCGGGGTAAGTTATCATTAAGCCTTAAATCTATGGACTTGAACTTCTAGCTTTAAGTGGTCTTAATTAAGTCATGGAACGAACTACCATGTAGCTTAGTTGATCTACAACCTTGGTCACAAGGGTTGAAAAAAATCATTCTAGATATGCATTTTGCCCCTCCCCACCCCTGTGCAAGGTTGCCAAAACACTTTCATCTAACACAAGTTTGCATTTTACCATTTTTGCCATTTTCCAACATTGAAAGGGGGAATGAGGGTACTGACACTTATTCTGTAGGTATTATGGTTATGATTTCATGTTTTTAGCATTTACCAACACAATTTGTCTCTAGTTGTAGGTATTTTTGCAAACACCTGTATAGGATTTTAACATGTTGTAATTTGTTATGGCGCTGTCGCTTCTCAGTCCATTCACTTGTGTTTGTAATTTCAAGGGAGTTTTCACATACATGTATATGTAGGGCTAACCTCACAAGTTTTCAGAGTGCCTATTTATTATACTTTTGTCATCGCTAATCATTTGTCATTGCTTTGTTTTATTCTTTCATCGTGTGACATCTATTCATTTGCATCCTGAGTAAACCTTTATTGTTATTAACTAAGCAGTTATTGACAAAATAATTAAATAGTAACGATGTTACACATACCATTTGGCCTAATGCATGAGAATGAGCTGATGGATACAGTATGGCAGTCTGACCACTGGCAGCTTGTTGTGGAGTGACAGCTTCTGGGACTCTGACAGCGGCAGGAGCAATATTTACTGCAAATAGAAGTGCAACATTTTTCAGTTCCAGAATGGATGGCTGACAGAAATTCCAAGGGAGAGGGGTTTGAAAAGCTATGAAGTATGAAGCTAAACCAATATTTCCCGGGGGGAGGGGGTTCAAACTAAGAAACCCTTGACAAGAGGGGTATGAATATTTTCTGAAACAACACATTACAAGTGTATATATAAAAGTGGAAACTTTCAATGAAACTAGAATACTGCTGTGTGAGAAAATGAAACACTGTTTTTCACCTAATGTTTATCCGCTTATGAGGCACCAGAACAATAATTATGACAATACAAGTACACAGACCTTGATGTACTGCTTTTGTTGGCTGGACTTGTTGAGGAATCGTTGGTGCAACATGAGGATACATGTATTGCTGACGCTGTGTTTGCTGTCCTTCTGCAGGCATCCCATCAACAGCTCTTGACTGAAGTAGTTTACTTTCCCAAATCTAACCGAAAATGAAGGGAATTCATACTCTAAATAAATGACATTTTACACAATACACTCTTGTGTTTATCAGAATATATTTTATAGAAATATCAAGGCTAAAAATTTGCAAAGCTCCTTTAACATTGTAGAACAAATATCCAGCAATTCTCTGTATTCTATCAAGGTCCTAAATTTTTCAATTCCCTTTTATCTGAAATTTCTGGCTGTTCATCACTGGCATCTTTTAGGAAAAACTTAAAGCATATATTACCAGTAAATATTAACTCTGTCATTAAATAAGGCTTGTCATTAAATACTTTATCTAAATTAGTCCTCTGGTGTTTCATGAGAGGGAATGTAAGCTTACAAGCCCCATAGTTTCTATTAGGTTCCCTCGCCATTTTGTTTTCTCTCCTTTAATATATAAATTGTAGTTTTGTATCCTCATTGTAATCTTGTGTACTAAAGAAAAAAAAAACCCTTTTAAGAACAAACCAGAGGTTGAGAATTTGAACAGAATATACATGTACATGTAATTGTGTTTGTTGAAAATTTGTGAACACAATACAATTATATGTTTTCAGTTACATGTGAATTGTAGTTTGGTTGGTTGAGAATTTTTTTTCACTGCATTTAAATTCATTTAAGTAATTATATTACCAAACCAACTACACCGAATGGCGCAAACTTCGCTCGCAATGAACTTCGCAACTTCCCAACAAAGTTCAGAGTGACATTCACAACTTTGTTTCCGAGTTTGCAATTTGATGGACAACTACACAATGAAATTGCCACGTTCGTTGCGAACGTCAGGAATTTCAAACTAACTTCAGACACCGCTTGTCAAAAGTTTTGTAAAACGCACTGTAATCAACTCAAGTTTATCTTTATTCACTTTTAAATGGCAAGGAAAGTGGTCACGGCCACTTACTGGGGCAGTTGCTTACGAGAGCTTTTCATTACAACGTTTAAGTCACAGCTCAAATGGGGTTTCACAAAGGTGGTCATAACTAGAGCTGGTTGCTTATGAGAGTGGTCCCAAGGAGAGCTTTGATTGTACATGTACATTATTTGCAGCTTACGGTCGGTCTGTATAGTAAAACAACTGTGACCTTGGGCTTGAAAATGTTGCCCTCAGCCTGCGGCCTCCAGCAACATTTTCAAGACCTCGGTCACAGTTTTTCACTATAAAGACCTCCCAGCCAGCAAATAGCATGTACATGTATTTATTACCTGCAGTCTGGCTCCAGACATGATAAGACAGATAAAACCAAAATTATGCCATAAACTACAATCTAAGAATATTCACAAGAATATTTTCAGCCTTAAATCAGCTGAAAAATAACAATATCCAGCCTGGGCTGAACAAAAACAATAAACAACTCTTAATAAAAAAGAGTGTTCATTGCAGAACAATTGTATGCTCATTATGAGAGCTCCATCGATAATTGTTGGGGGTACAGTTTTTTATATAGGCCAAGAAAATGATATGCCCTGAAAATCAACACAAAGTAGAGTTCTTTAAGATCCAAGTATCATCAATGAGCATGCTGTTTTGCAGGTACTTTTACCTCTAATTTGTTGCTAAATTTTGATTTATTGCAATAAATGAATAAGTAATTCTTTATTTATCATGACCACTCCGCTTTGCTAAAATAAAACACATTTTATTTTGAACAGCATCCCCTTGTCTTCTTCCCTTACATACATGTACCAATTCAGACACTGTGGGTGCTTACCAATAAATCGGTTGGGATGATAGTTAAATTAAGGTTTTTCCAAAATCAGCAAACCAACTGAATGAGATGGCATTTATCATTTGTACAAGGCTGCTGCCTAACGGGCGCCCGGTCGCCTGAGGCGCCCAAGTTATGAGTGCAGGCAACTAAAGTTTTGTTCAAAGAGCCGGTGTGGACGCCTAAACATGGAGTTCTCGAAATTCATTCTCAAGTAATCTGTCTGATGACTTCAATCTTCTCATGAAATCGGTCAAAAAATCATTCACACAATAAATTAAACAGAAAACAACAGCTACTCTGGTCCTGTTTCACTTTTATCATGACAAATATGGGCCAAACCACAGCAACAAAGTCTCTCTCTGTTCACAAAACAGCTGAAAACAACCATATTTGAAAATCGCCCTATAATGCATTGCAAGCTCAGTATTGAATAAATATACATCATGTACATGTATGCCAATGGATTGCATCTATGTTGATGCCTTAATGATTCCAGTTGCAAAATAACTACTTTGATAACAAATATTCTTGGAATTGGAGTGATGATGCTGCTGACATTATATTTACAATTGAATAAAGAAAAATGTGTCTACATGTTAATTAAGAAAACTTCACTTAGATGTACTGAATGAATTTCTTTAGTTTCTGAAAGGATAATTCAAGTAACTAGCCAGCAANATTATTCCAGCCATGATCACCCAAATTAAAGATGGTTTATAGATAATTTTTCAGAGTAAAATTGCCTTGTCTACACAACGTGAAGATTTATTTCACTTACTTTTCACTGATTTTAAATAGGTAGAAATCCCCTGACATTGAAAACATTGTGATTTTTTCTTGACTTTTCCCAGACTGTAGCAACCTGGACTAAGTAATACATGTAGTTGTCATTTACAGTTGGGTTTCATCTACACATTCAAAAGTTAAATCAATGTAGAGCTAAATAACAGCATTAAGCTCTGCTAAATAGCATTCTCTTCACAGCTTCGTGTCTGCTTGCAGGACACCAGTCTACATGCAGAGCGGATACAGGATTTTAGATAAGGGGGTTTGAAATATGGACAGCCAAAGGCGGTCCCCTGTAGGGGAGTTCCAGTAGTGTCCTCCCCTAGAAAAATTTTAAATTGAGGTCATCGGATATGGGATTTCTGGCATTCTGGGGCCAAGTGGTCGTGTTATGTCTCACGATTTTTTTCTTAATTTAGGGGATCCGACCATACCCCCCTCAGGATGCACCCCAGACCCTTACAAGATACAAGGATGTCACATCTCTTGCAACCCACACCAGCAAGGTTGGGGTTCAAAGGTTTGAGGAGTGTTTGCGGATGGAGTTAAAAGCCCCCCCCTAAAAAGCAGCTTTAGACCCTTATTTTTCAGGAACTCGTCTCCTTGGGCCCTGGAAAGAATTATAAAACTTCCATGAGTTTCCGTGAAGAATTCCATGAAAGCTAAAAAAAAAAAGTTTGAATTTGAGGAATTCTTTCTACGCGTACAGTAATTACTGTAAGAAATTGAAATTTCCTTTTTTAACTTATATTTAAATACAACTTCATTTGTTTTCCATAATGGAGAGAGGATAACGATTTTGATGTTTATTTAAGTTTTATCCCGAACATGACATAAAATAACTATTTGAGACTTACATGTCCTGTATTCATAATAATTATCATCAGTTTCATTCCATCACTTATTGTCCACCCTTTGTGGCAAGTTACTTTCTTCCCAAAAATTGCAGTATTGAATGTCATTTCATCTGTAAAAGTGAAAATTGCTTTCGCCTAAATTGTCAGGAATTTAAGGCTATTATTTTGGGTTGGGGATGGGTTTTACATATTTATGTAGATCACTTGTAATTGGAGCAACATCAATTAAAGCATGCATGCATAATAGACAATATTATTGAATGCTGAAGTTTTCATGTTGTGTGAATCTTTAAATTCTTTGGCTCCCTGTTATTTTTTACACTTTACGATTCTTTTTACAATAATATTTATTTTCCAGCATCTTGGCTACCATTCTGCATCGCCTGTTGCTTTTTGAAACACATAGTCTCTTCCTCTAAGGTTCATTATTCCGTCCTTCAAATGGAACTTCCACTTATTTCTGGTACGAGTAATCTAAAGAAAAACAAATCAAGCAGTTAATCCATGATAGACATTAACTTTAAAATTTACATTTTGTACTTGTCAGCTATTTCCTGCGACATACCACAAGCTTTTCTGTTTTGATTTTAAATGCGATGAGCAACTTTCTTAACAAGTATACACAATTCAACACTGTCAAACCATCACTACATTGTAAATGAGCATACTAGCCATACAAATGTATATACATGTAGTTTCACCCAGTGTCAAGTTGAAACTCATATACCTAGTCAAACAAACCATTAGACACACGTACCTTGTCAAACTGACATACAACAACATTATCTGTATCAAAAAAGGTCAGCAGGGTCGTCATCGGAAACATCATCATCTGAGTTGAGAGGATCTTCTTCCTATAACAAAAGAGCATAATGTGAATACTGTTTAACAAATGCATACATCTAGGTTCATGGGACAGACCGATGTAACACCTGACTGATTAGTAAGAACTCCCCTAACAGTGAAGGCAAGTCATTGCAATTGTAATTTGACAAAGACTGTACATTACTGACATCTAAGTCTGCGTCATCCAGTCCTTCTTGAGATTTGTCTTTTTTGTCGTCTTCCAAGTCATCTTCATCGTCATCATCATCGTCTTCACTGTCACTATCATTTGCTCCATCCACTTGAATAACTTGAATTCCTGGAGCCTGCAAAGATAAATTGCCAACAACAACAATTGCATTCTTGAGCAAGACAGGTTACTCTCACAGTGCATCTCTCCACCCAGGTGTACATGTTTACATGTACATGTAAATGGGTACCACAGAATTAAATGTTGGGGTAGCACTGCAATTGACCAGCATCCAGGGGGGAGTAGAAATATTCCTAGTTGTGTCATGCCATAGAAACCCGGATAAGCTACAGCCTGATGGGCCACTTGGCTCATATGCAGACTACAGTATACCTTTTACCCACAATACAGGGGTGCATAACCTGCAATTTCGTCATAAAAATGCTCAGTGAGGGGATGTTCTTCTGTCTATGTTCTTGCTATACCCAAACAAGACCCACGTCACACTTAACTGCAAAACAATGTACATGGCTCAACACTAACCTTGTTATCTCCTGCCTGTAACTGTGTCATCTGGATAACTTGGGGCTGAGTGACTCGGGTTGTTGACGGCTGAGCACCACGGATTAGTTGCGTGTTTCCAACCATTGTTGGCTGATGATGAATGACTTGCTGCTGGGTGGTGCCGATGATGTGTCGTGGTTGTGCAGTATTGACAATTCGTTGAAGATTTCCCACCTGCTGTGTTGTCTGTATTGTCCTCACAGTGGGATAAGCTGTAAACAGAAGAATTGACAAGTAAAACTTCAAATATTTCATAAAGAGTTAAGCTGGTAATAACTACATGGGCATAGTCTCCACATGATCCTTCATCATTGTAGTTATTTTGCAGATGTTGTGGTTAAAGACTATTTCCAGTTTGTACTGTGTACTCTCGTTTCAATGAGCTTACCATGTGATGAAACTCCCTGCTGGATTTGTGATAAATTTTCAGGAATGGCCATTGTTGCTGCTGAAGCCGCTGCAGTCTGTTAGAAAACAACAATTAAAATTGATAAGGTTTTGCAATGTAGAACAACTAAATGCAGTAGCTCAAAAAAGGTTTGCATTAACTTGCCTTTCACCTAGCTATGGTCAGATTATTAAACAACATAGTTACCGGGGTAAGTTATCATTAAGCCTTAAATCTATGGACTTGAACTTCTAGCTTTAAGTGGTCTTAATTAAGTCATGGAACGAACTACCATGTAGCTTAGTTGATCTACAACCTTGGTCACAAGGGTTGAAAAAAATCATTCTAGATATGCATTTTGCCCCTCCCCACCCCTGTGCAAGGTTGCCAAAACACTTTCATCTAACACAAGTTTGCATTTTACCATTTTTGCCATTTTCCAACATTGAAAGGGGGAATGAGGGTACTGACACTTATTCTGTAGGTATTATGGTTATGATTTCATGTTTTTAGCATTTACCAACACAATTTGTCTCTAGTTGTAGGTATTTTTGCAAACACCTGTATAGGATTTTAACATGTTGTAATTTGTTATGGCGCTGTCGCTTCTCAGTCCATTCACTTGTGTTTGTAATTTCAAGGGAGTTTTCACATACATGTATATGTAGGGCTAACCTCACAAGTTTTCAGAGTGCCTATTTATTATACTTTTGTCATCGCTAATCATTTGTCATTGCTTTGTTTTATTCTTTCATCGTGTGACATCTATTCATTTGCATCCTGAGTAAACCTTTATTGTTATTAACTAAGCAGTTATTGACAAAATAATTAAATAGTAACGATGTTACACATACCATTTGGCCTAATGCATGAGAATGAGCTGATGGATACAGTATGGCAGTCTGACCACTGGCAGCTTGTTGTGGAGTGACAGCTTCTGGGACTCTGACAGCGGCAGGAGCAATATTTACTGCAAATAGAAGTGCAACATTTTTCAGTTCCAGAATGGATGGCTGACAGAAATTCCAAGGGAGAGGGGTTTGAAAAGCTATGAAGTATGAAGCTAAACCAATATTTCCCGGGGGGAGGGGGTTCAAACTAAGAAACCCTTGACAAGAGGGGTATGAATATTTTCTGAAACAACACATTACAAGTGTATATATAAAAGTGGAAACTTTCAATGAAACTAGAATACTGCTGTGTGAGAAAATGAAACACTGTTTTTCACCTAATGTTTATCCGCTTATGAGGCACCAGAACAATAATTATGACAATACAAGTACACAGACCTTGATGTACTGCTTTTGTTGGCTGGACTTGTTGAGGAATCGTTGGTGCAACATGAGGATACATGTATTGCTGACGCTGTGTTTGCTGTCCTTCTGCAGGCATCCCATCAACAGCTCTTGACTGAAGTAGTTTACTTTCCCAAATCTAACCGAAAATGAAGGGAATTCATACTCTAAATAAATGACATTTTACACAATACACTCTTGTGTTTATCAGAATATATTTTATAGAAATATCAAGGCTAAAAATTTGCAAAGCTCCTTTAACATTGTAGAACAAATATCCAGCAATTCTCTGTATTCTATCAAGGTCCTAAATTTTTCAATTCCCTTTTATCTGAAATTTCTGGCTGTTCATCACTGGCATCTTTTAGGAAAAACTTAAAGCATATATTACCAGTAAATATTAACTCTGTCATTAAATAAGGCTTGTCATTAAATACTTTATCTAAATTAGTCCTCTGGTGTTTCATGAGAGGGAATGTAAGCTTACAAGCCCCATAGTTTCTATTAGGTTCCCTCGCCATTTTGTTTTCTCTCCTTTAATATATAAATTGTAGTTTTGTATCCTCATTGTAATCTTGTGTACTAAAGAAAAAAAAAACCCTTTTAAGAACAAACCAGAGGTTGAGAATTTGAACAGAATATACATGTACATGTAATTGTGTTTGTTGAAAATTTGTGAACACAATACAATTATATGTTTTCAGTTACATGTGAATTGTAGTTTGGTTGGTTGAGAATTTTTTTTCACTGCATTTAAATTCATTTAAGTAATTATATTACCAAACCAACTACACCGAATGGCGCAAACTTCGCTCGCAATGAACTTCGCAACTTCCCAACAAAGTTCAGAGTGACATTCACAACTTTGTTTCCGAGTTTGCAATTTGATGGACAACTACACAATGAAATTGCCACGTTCGTTGCGAACGTCAGGAATTTCAAACTAACTTCAGACACCGCTTGTCAAAAGTTTTGTAAAACGCACTGTAATCAACTCAAGTTTATCTTTATTCACTTTTAAATGGCAAGGAAAGTGGTCACGGCCACTTACTGGGGCAGTTGCTTACGAGAGCTTTTCATTACAACGTTTAAGTCACAGCTCAAATGGGGTTTCACAAAGGTGGTCATAACTAGAGCTGGTTGCTTATGAGAGTGGTCCCAAGGAGAGCTTTGATTGTACATGTACATTATTTGCAGCTTACGGTCGGTCTGTATAGTAAAACAACTGTGACCTTGGGCTTGAAAATGTTGCCCTCAGCCTGCGGCCTCCAGCAACATTTTCAAGACCTCGGTCACAGTTTTTCACTATAAAGACCTCCCAGCCAGCAAATAGCATGTACATGTATTTATTACCTGCAGTCTGGCTCCAGACATGATAAGACAGATAAAACCAAAATTATGCCATAAACTACAATCTAAGAATATTCACAAGAATATTTTCAGCCTTAAATCAGCTGAAAAATAACAATATCCAGCCTGGGCTGAACAAAAACAATAAACAACTCTTAATAAAAAAGAGTGTTCATTGCAGAACAATTGTATGCTCATTATGAGAGCTCCATCGATAATTGTTGGGGGTACAGTTTTTTATATAGGCCAAGAAAATGATATGCCCTGAAAATCAACACAAAGTAGAGTTCTTTAAGATCCAAGTATCATCAATGAGCATGCTGTTTTGCAGGTACTTTTACCTCTAATTTGTTGCTAAATTTTGATTTATTGCAATAAATGAATAAGTAATTCTTTATTTATCATGACCACTCCGCTTTGCTAAAATAAAACACATTTTATTTTGAACAGCATCCACTTGTCTTCTTCCCTTACATACATGTACCAATTCAAACACTGTGGGTGCTTACCAATAAATCGGTTGGGATGACAGTTAAATTAAGGTTTTTCCAAAATCAGCAAACCAACTGAACGAGATGGCATTTATCATTTGTACAAGGCTGCTGCCTAATGCGCGCCCGGTCGCCTGAGGCACCCAAGTTATGAGTGCGGGCAACTAAAGTTTTGTTCAAAGAGCCGGTGTGGACGCCTAAACATGGAGTTCTCGAAATTCATTCCCAAGTAATCTGTCTGATGACTTCAATCTTCTCACGAAATCCGTCAAAAAATCATTCACACAATAAATTAAACAGAAAACAACAGCTACTCTGGTCCTGTTTCACTTTTATCATGACAAATATGGGCCAAACCACAGCAACAAAGTCTCTCTCTGTTCACAAAACAGCTGAAAACAACCATATTTGAAAATCGCCCTATAATGCATTGCAAGCTCAGTATTGAATAAATATACATCATGTACATGTATGCCAATGGATTGCATCTATGTTGATGCCTTAATGATTCCAGTTGCAAAATAACTACTTTGATAACAAATATTCTTGGAATTGGAGTGATGATGCTGCTGACATTATATTTACAATTGAATAAAGAAAAATGTGTCTACATGTTAATTAAGAAAACTTCACTTAGATGTACTGAATGAATTTCTTTAGTTTCTGAAAGGATAATTCAAGTAACTAGCCAGCAAAAAGAACACATCAATGCAATTCTTTTTGAATACAATCAAACCTCGATTATCCAGACTCATTGGGACTAGACGAAATAGTCTGGATAATTGAGGGTCCGGAAAATCGAAAATATGAATATTAATGAAGAACAAAACTGTTTAAATAAAGCAACATTTAATCATGAAACAACACTTTCACAAATTGCTTGGAAAACAATATGGTCTACTGTACATCTTGAACCACTCAACTCTGAGCCAATCAGAACTCATTCGCGTGTTCTTCATTGGTTACAATGCATGCAAGTGCTGCTTTTGCTCTTTAAAAGCACAATTAACTTGCTTTTGACTGCACTTTTCAATGCTATAGCTTTAAAAGGAATATTGCTACTGATCTTGATCAGGACTAATAAATATTCACGACAAAATTGGGACTTGAGAAAAAGTCCAGATAATCGAGAAATCTGGATAATTGAGGCAGGGATAATCGAGGTTCGACTGTACTAGGGTTTTATACATGTATTTTAAATTATCAAACAAATTGTCGAGACTCCACCCAATACAC